TATTATAACAATCAGCTGCCAGAGGCTAACTGAAAATCTCAGTAAAATTTGCAACAAATTAATTGCCTGTCAGCTTTTAGCTTAAATTAATTGCCAGAAGTTTCGCTTACTCAATTAACCACAAAAAAAAGCATTTCGCCTCATAGAATTTCTTGTGTTGAGAACAGATTTGTTTTTCCTCTGGGAAAAGGCATTTTTTTATTTATTGCACTTTCCGCTAGAAACATTTCGGTTTTGTTGAATAACTGTTGATCTCTTGGAAAGCAAATGCAAATAATTTCTAATTTGACTTTTGTGATCGAAAATATATAATATATATCATATATATATAAACAATCTATCGATAGGCATGCCAAGCTTTCATATCTATAATCAATCTCATTTCAATGGACCTTCACGATTTACGCTGCCTTGAAATTAATTAGAATACTTGGAATTGAATATTTTGAACCACAAATGCCAATCCAATACCAAGCTTTCATATATTGAATCGATGCACCCGAAACTTATATAGACTGGCTTTGAAAAAAGCCAAAAAAGCAAAACTTTTTTATGATTTTTTTCAAATATCTCGGATAAATAACATTTGATTTTTGAATAAAATACATTTTTGAATTCGTACGAAAGCCTACTATGAATTGGCATTCAAAAAAATAACAATCAAGGGGATACATAAAAATGATGGATAAAAAACGGTTTTGGTAATGCCGTCAAACTTGCTTGATGATTTTTCGGAATATCTCGGCCAAATAATGTCCGATTTTTGAATTTTATACCATTTTGGACTCGTAAGGATCAGTACTATCGACTGGCATCAAAAAATAGAAAATCTAAATTTTGACCAAATCGACAAAAAGCAAGGGGTTACATCATGTTTTTTTCCCAAAAACGAGGTCGGTTCGAAAATCACAACTTTTTGATGATTTTTTTTAACATTTCGGCCAGATAATGTCAGATTTTCGAATTTTATACCTGTTTGAATTCGTACGGATCCCTACTATGAACTTGCATTCAAAGGAATTAAAAATCGATGGGTTAAAAAAGTTGTTGGCCAAAAAACGAATCAAACCCTTTTAGATGATTATATTGAAAATATAGCCTGAATCTTAAACCTATACAGTTTGAGAATCACTGCCTATGCTTACAGTTGTAGAGTCACCAATCATGGCTCTTCAGCCGCTCTTTCCAGCTTTTATAAGTGACTTGTTATTAAATAATATCTCACAGAATCTGTTTCCACTCTGTTCTATCAGATCTCTCTTAACAATGGCCTGAACGCATATCAGGTTTCAGCTAGACCTCAGACTGAAGCTGCTTTTGAGCTTCAGTTTTAGACAAAGGGCGCACTGTTGTTCACAATGGACCTAAATTAGCTAAGCTGAATCTAGATTAAAAGATTGTCGCACTAGCCTAAACTTACCCAACCTTAACTAAAATACCAAGTCTTTTAGCAGCTACAGCAAAAATCTAGCTTGCTTAGATGCAAATTGAACCAACATAATTTAACTAAATATTATTTATATTAAATATGGGTGTAAGCGTATTTAATCTTCGTCTTGCCAAGGCTAATTCTGCTCTTTTTTTTCATGCATTAGTTGACATCATAAATTGTTGCTGACGTGTGTCTGGCTTGTATTTGTATTGTATTACCTACTCGTTGTTATTGAGTCTCTGTGTGTGTGTGTGTGTGTGTATCTGTGTGAGTGCGCAAAAAAGTGCGAGTTCAAAGTTGGCATCATCTATCAAGATCTTCGTAACATTAGCATAGAGTCATGCAACGAAAATAGCCGCCTGACAGGTTTCTGCGTCGAGGGGAACTCACGCAGCTAGAGGGAAAGGGGGAAGCAGGTTAGTAAAGTGTGGGCGTGCACTCGATTGAAATCAATTTGAATAAGCTCAATTGACAATCGAACCGGTTGTCGGTGACCTGAGCACCTCCACTGGCACTGATAAACTATCAGCAGCAGCATCTGTAATTAAAGTGTGGCCCGACACCTGTTTCCAAGTGCGCCGACTGCACTTGCTACACTGTACAAAATTTTGGTTACAAAGATTTCGAACAATTTTGAAACATGTTGAGCTCGAATGCATTAAATAATTGATAGTTCAAACTACCCTTAGACCATTATTAACTTTGACAAAATCAAATAATACAAATTAGTTCGTAAGTTAAGTTTTGGGTTTCGAAAATAGGTTTAAAGCCAATTGGACAACACTTAAAAAATCGTTGCATGGCATTTTCCACAAAAGGAAGTTTGAATTCTGCAAAAAGTGTGAAACATGTCTTAAATAATTGTTCATATATATCCTTGGAATTTGAACCCGAAGATCTCCGAACTAATCTTCTTCTTCCTAGAATGAAAGCTTGGAATATTTAGTATAAGTATCTGTAAGTATATCCATAATTTTCGAAATCGTCAAAAAGAAAGTTGCGCTAAAATTCGAACCAACGTCTTTACTTTTGCCTTAGTATTGAGCTATTCAACCTCTCCCAAACTAACTCTAATTAAACCACACTTGAAAAATAAGTAAGACGCTTAATTCAATTCAATTAATTCTAATTTAATTTTAATTTCAACTAATTGTTAAATAGAATTTAATTTGCAAAAGCAGCTCTATTTAAAGCAACCTTTCTTGCCGTGTATGCATGCCTGTGGCTCAGGCATTGCATGTGCACCTGATTAATTTGATAAATGCGACTAAGTTGGCGCGTTTTAACACGATTTTAGGCCACAAATTAAGATTAATAAGTTGGCGGCAGGCAACATGAGACATGACCACGCAAATCTGTCTGCCGGCAGCCAGACCTGAGCTGATTCATCTCGAACTCGAGCATGGGCCATATGTGCTGTAGGCAGCTTTGATTGATCTATGTATAGTACCCCCCCCCCCCTCCCCCCTCCTCCATTGGGGAAGTGCAATTGCGCGTGTGGGTGCCGGACTCGTCGATGATGTAAGATTCGGTTCTAGAAGCGCATTTGGCTACCAGAAAACAGAGAACAACGAACAAAAAGCCAAGCCGAAAATGAACATGTTTTCATTGCGTGCGAGGTCGCGGGCCGCAAACACGCCCACTTTTTAGCCTCAATTTGAACAGCTTTGCTTTATGGTATCAAAAAGCCCCTCCACCCCCCCCGTCTGTCACTTAGAGTGCGGGTCGTTGTTGTGCCACGCCCACACAGAAATTGGCTCAACTGTATTTACATAACATGAGGCCGAGAGCTGTTGATTTCACGGTCAAAGAAGTTGCACGCTTTGGCTGCCGCAGCCACAGCCAGACTTGTTCTTTGGCTGGGAGCTAGAGATGTGCGCGTGAGGGCACAACACGAACACGAATCCAAAAATAAACACACGAGTTTTCAGCTAGGACTCACGGCACGTCGAGCTTAGAGAAGAGAAGAGCTAGATACTTTAGATTGTTGATCGATATGATTCCAGCATATCGATAAATATCGACAGAATGATTAATTGGTGTTGAGGTAAGCGGAGATGTGTTTGCATTGTACGCAACGAACACGAATCGTTAAATACACACACGAATTTTTACTTGATACACATGCCAAATCGATTTAGAGAAGAAAGACCAGATACTTTAGATTATTGATCGATAGTTTCCAGCAGATCAATAGGTAAACAAAGGGTTATTTGAACACATTCAAAATGCGAGTCAATTGAAGTCGTGTTGACTCGTGTTAGGCCTACCAAAATCGTGCTTATGTTGAGTCGTGCTCAGCTCGTGCTTAGCCAGCTGCATTGCCCAACACTGGCGCGAGCGAATTGAAATTAATTTTCGCACGGCACGCGCGTAACTTGAATTTCGACAAGCCATTTTCTTGGCATGCAATTGTCGCTCCATAAGTCATTAAAGGTAATCGTTTTGTTGGCCCACATGCGCCAAATGGCCAACATTAGCACTTAGCATACATTTTTGGGGGCGCAACCTTGCTGCCAGACTGGCCAGGCCAGGCCAGGCCAGGGGTGAGGTTAGGGTCTGAGCTGACGTTCAATCGCTTCAGCTAATCGCCAGGCTAAAAGCCAATTGGGGTCGTCATCGCCAAGTATCGATTACACTGCGACGACGTCGCGACCTGTTACCAGACCAGATCAGGCCAGACCAAGGCCTTCGTGCCTGTGGGTAGGCAACACTTTTGGGCGCTGTGTGAAAAGAAGAAGGTCACGTGCCCTGGGACTACCACAAACTTATACTCTTTGTCCATTGTGTGTCTTTTTTATATTTTCTTTACGTGACCCAAACAAATCGGCAGGCGAACCAACCCAATTTCTCGGCGAGCGCTGTCCCAGAAAATTCGAAACAACCAAATCGTTCACGCTGGCAAGTCACAAAGTTGGTGCCCCTTTTTGTTTATACCCTATACTTATTGAATATGGGTAAATGGTTTGGGTTGGCCTGAAAACGTCTACTTCTAAACCCATAATCATCCTTAAGCTGAGCCAATTTTGGCTTTGTTTCTCTGCTTTTCAGTGTGATGCAGCTTCAAATTTCCCTGCATAGCAGTTTTTCTTTTACATCGACAACTTTTTCGATGAATATCGAAAGAGCTTGTTTATAAATATGTGTAATACAGGGTATTTACAGGTCGAGCACGCTCAGCTGAAGCACTCTAGTTCGACTTTATGGATTTTACGTCATGAATTTGATGTTAATTTAGGCATTTTGGCTTATTTGGGTTAGCAGACATTTTAGCCCAAAGCCCCCCAACTTCAATTGAATTCCAAACAAATACAAAGTCAAATTCGTGTTTTTTATTTCTTTTCGTAAATTCCGCAATCCGTGATCCATAATTAACGTCCGTAGAGACATCCGAAGAACTGCAGCAAAATGATTAAAAATGTGCGGCAGCTGTTTGGAAGTTCGAGTTGCATATTAAACCGGAACGCTCTCGCTTTTTTTTGCAGGTTGCCTTTCAGGGAAAATTCAGGTACAAGAAGAGAAGATAACGGGCCCCTGCGCACCGGTACGCATAATACGCACACTCAACATGGCCGGCAGCATCGAGCAGCGCCCCTGGACGCCCACAGTGCGCACGGGCCGCATTGCGGGGAGACGACCAATCCGGGTCCGGCAATTGTCCAGCTGCCCACGTTAATTGGTGGGTTAAGGGGCAATGGGAAATGTGAGGCCGGATGATTGATGGGTTTCTCTACCTTTGCAGGCAGCAAGGTGCCGGACTCGAAAGAGGGGCGCACCTCGTATTCGTTTGGCCACAAACTGATCAACAGGGATGAGACGACGGGTCCTGGCCCGGCACAGTACAATGTGGCCGGGATGCGACCGAAGGGCAAGGATCATGCACGCGCCGCCACACTGCAAAGTCGTCCCAAGGAGTTGACCAGCTTTGTCAATCCCGGACCCGTGAATACGACGTGTTGCCGGCCTCCAAGGCTGTCATCGATGCCACGCCCAAATACACTTTCGGCAGGAAGCCGGCAGCGCCAAGTACCAGCTGATACCGGGTAAGTCGAGGCGGTCCTCGTTCGAGCCGTGCTCACAGAGTTTTGTGCTTGGTTGTTTGGTGTTCCTGTTGGTTGTTTGAATGGTTGTTGGTCGTTGGTCGCGATTTGCATGCGCATCATTAACGCTAATGGATTACGGAGAGGCATCATCATCAAGCATCCAGCATCAGCAAGACATCAGCCATGTCTGGCGCAGACGAGACGCATCCATCATGCATGTGTATATATATAAGAAATCATTTGAATAATTATGTTCCATGTGAAAGAATCATCCAAGCAGCGCGTAAGTAAACGCTGCGTTTTAAATGAGAGCACCTCTCTCTCTCTCTCTCTCTCG